TTTATGATAAATTTTTTTTTTTTGTTCACTATCCATCTGTCAGTTTGTTGTACTGTGGTGGCTTGCGCGTTGCTGCTATGAGGCTGGAAGGTATGCCACCGTCATATTTTAAACACCAGCAGGGTCACCCATGGTGGACAAGTTTCAGTGGAGCTTCTAAACTAAGGCAGACTAGGAAGAAAGGCCTGGTGAGCTACTTCTGGAAAATCAGCCAATAAAAATTCTGTGGAGCACAACAGAATATTGTTCAAAACCGTGCTGTAAGATGAGCCCGCTAGGTTGGAAGGTACTCACAATAACAGTGGACTCAAACATTGATCATGGAGATGGCACGGGACCGAGCAATGTTTTGTTCTATTGTACATGGGGTCGCCATGAGTCGGAGCCAACTTGAGAGCAACTAACGACAACATTTTCTTTGTGCTTCTTTAAATAGGGCATTATTTTGATTGAAAACAAATAAAAGCTTGTATGTAGGTAGGTTATACTGTCTATGAATTTAATTTTAGGATTATAAAGGGGACATTATGAAAATACTCATTATTAAAAAAGGGCTATTGTGTAAGACAAGGTTGCCAATTACTGGATTAGTGATGCTTAAGACCCCTTTCCATTGTTACTGCTATGGTTCTAATCTTCAACAATGGAAAGGATTCTTTTTATTTTGTTCTTTCCATTATTTTGTTTTATTTCCTTGTTAGGAAATTCTGTAAAAATTCTACAATTTCAAATGTATGGTAAAACGGGAGTTTATTACATATTTTAATTTCTCACCATGTAATTGTTGTCTGGGCTTGAGTGAAACATAAAGAACTAAAAATGGAATGAAATGAGTGCTTCTCACTATGAGATTAGGTTCAGAGACATGAAATCTTTCTCTACTCCCCTTGCTTTCAATTTTTTCCTTATTAGTTATGACATACATTTTATCGGATATTTTTTAAGTTTATTGCCTCCCTCCCCTCTCCACCACCCCAACACACACACTAGAATGGGGACAGGGAGATTTGTCTGTTTTGCTCACCGTCGTAAACCCAGTGCCTAGAACGGTGCTGGACACAGGAGGAGCTCAAAGACTATTTGTTGCATGAATGGGTGAAGAATACAGGCAATAAGCACAAACGACTGCTTGGAGCGCCACTCCCACCAGAGTTCCAGGAGGCAAGTGGGAGGGACCAGTACGTTGATTGATTTTTGTCATGGAAGATTCCCTGGCGCTCCCCAGGGACTGCGGCAGCATTCTTATATTTTTTGGGATGTGTGCGGAGTTTGTGAACTTTACTCACAGAAGTGTAGGGCAGGATACCGAGCTAGCAACAATTTGCACCTTAGTCCGTATAATGTTCTCAAATTTACATCATTAGAACACAGGTTTTTGTAGTTGCATGGGTCTTCAGTTCTCTCGCACAGGACAATTCAGGGTATTTCTTCCCTGGAGATGTACGGGGAGGATAGGATCAAAAGCGGTTACTGCCAAAGAAAACGGTTCCCCCTAACGCGCAATGACGAGGGTACGAGCTAACGCTCACTTTCCGTACACAGAAGCCCAGTCGGCATCAAATATCTCCTCCTAGATCAAATCCCGCGCTCCTTCGGCCCGGACCTGCCGGCCCCGCCCCTTTAGATACCTATGTGGGGCGGGGCCGAGTAGAGGCGTCCCGGGCAACCCCAAATTGTTACACTCGCCCCGAGTTTTGATATCCCACACTTCAGCAAACACCAAGAACACGGAACCACTAACGGAAATCACTGGCCGAATGACAGCAGGCTGGCACATAGGGGCCGACCAGGGAGAAAACACGAAGAAAGGCAGCAGCAGCCAACAGCCACGTGAGGCGGGCGACCCCCGCCGCCCTTGCAGGGAGAACTACAACTTCCGGCGTGCCGCTGGGCGGCTGCCCTCCGAGAACTACAACTCCCAGAGTGCTGCGGGCGTGGCCGCTGCCACCTCCCACTCGGCCGCCCACCGACCCTCCGCCCCTCCCCCGCCCCGCCCGGCCGGATCGGCGTGCGCCTGCGCACGGCAGGCCGGAGGAGTCTTACCCTAATGTAAGATGGTGGCCCGTCTGGCTGTGGAACCCACCGAAAGCTGAGAGTCTCTCTCTCAGCCGTAAAGGTCGGACTCGCTGAAGCAATCAGGCCCTGTTCTGAAGAGTTTTTTCCCCGACCCTCGTTCAGTGGTCTCTGGCGAGGACGCGGCGGCGCGTGGAGTCGGCTACGGGAAAAGCGAGGCACGGCAGGCGGGTGAGTTCTGCGGGGCTGGGCTTAGGGGAAACCCGGGCTGACCCATTACGAGAGAGCGGAGGCTTCACCGGGACTGTGCAGGCCGCACCCTCCCTCCCCACCCCCCCGCCTCATCCTCACTCTCCTCCTGCGTGGTCTTCCTCCTCCTCTTCCTCCCTCTCGCCTCTACGCCACAGCAGTTACCACCAGGAAAAGGGAGCGGGGCGGGAGGAGCGGCGGCGGCGAGCCCGGCTCTCCTTCGGAAATTTCCTCCGCTGGGAGCCGAGGCGGCTCCTCGTCTCCAGCTCTCCCTCCCGTTCGTATTTGTTGGGGCAGGGTTCTTGGGTCTCAGGACTCCTTGTTCCCCAGCCCCACTTCCCCGCGTTGACGTCCTTCCCCTCTGGCCCCCGGCTCCCGAGACCAGAGCCATCACTTCCACTCCGACCCGTGTTGCTGCTGCTGGTGAAGCCCGCTGCTCATTGCCCACTCGCCCTGCTGCTTGGGTTTTGCTCCTGGAGTTAGCCTTTGCCCCCCCTTCTGCTTGCAGCCAGCCCCCGGAGTATCTGCCACACCGGAGCTCCCTCGGATTTGCAGTCTTGTCTTTGACCACATCTGTCATCTTCAAGCCGCCCCTTAAGTGTCTGGATTATGTTGCTGCCCGCTCTAACCCACCTGTTTCTCAGCCTTTTTGGGAATTGTCCGTCCCTTCCCTCTTTCCTGTACAGATTCTTCCAACACACAATTCCAGAAAAAGGGATGCCCCGTGTTGGTCCTAGGAAAGTCAAGGAAGTTGAGAAGTGAATGAACAGAGAGGTAGGATACTAGGAGACGTTCTGACTGAAGATCGTGTATTCAGCCTACTCAGGGAAGAACGTTTTCTTTTTGCGCTCAGTGATCTAGGTGTGGATTTTTCGCTCGGCTGGATTTGGCTCCCCCCCCCCCTTTTCATTTTGGACCGGTTTCCCCATGCACCAAGTGTTCTTCTGAACTGCTTCTCCCCAGGCCACTTAATGTGAGCTCTGATTATTCCAATAAATATTAGCCTCAGCATTTCAAAATAAGATAAACCTGGTGCACACACAAGATTCGTTTGTGAACTCCACAAGCAAATATAAGTGATTTTTTTCATTAGATGAGTTGCATGAGGGTTACGGATCCCATCCATGCCAAGAACTGATTATTGACTGAGTTTTAGATTGATGTTCCGCTTAATTGATGACATTTTATTTTTGGTTTGAGTGGAAATTTCCTCTCCAGCTAATACCATATTTACTTAGTATTTTTGGAATTGAGAAGTTCTCACTTTTAAGACTTCTAGTATAGTAGTTATCTGAATAAATTGTCTTCTCTTGAAAAGATCACGTACATATGCTAAAGAAAAATCAGTATTTCTTTTGCATACCTACATCCCTCATACCTTTTCCAGTAATGCCAGTGAGTACCACCAAATGCATGTATGGTACAGCTTTGTCATCTCTTTTCCAAGCAAAGAAGGGGGCTAGGAAAAGAGATGACAAAGCTGTGCCATACATGCATTTGGAGGTACTCACTGCCATTATTAT